CATGTCAGTCTTATTCACCCCCCTTCAAATAAAGTGTTACCCAATAATCTATAGTAATGTAAGACTGCTATGGTAAGATCAATAATCTATACACATGTAAGAATGATAACACATAATAGTTCCAACAATAACTTTTTCAAAATTTCACACTTGACTTTAAGAAACATACATTCTGTGCCTCTCCTCTCTGCCTCTCAGTGGGACCTTGATTTCAAAATAAAATGCTAATTACTTTCAGTTGTTTTCCTCCTTTGGCCAGATAAGATTGTTATGATATGGAGATGTTAAAAAAGATCCACCCTGATCTTTCAAACACTTAGTTGGTACCTGCAGTGAAAGTGATATATCATAATTTTTTTCAATAATTAAATTGAAGAGTGAAATACACAATGTGTCATACATAACTTTATTTATTTATTTGTATTTTGCATCTCTATGGTAGAAAGTGTAACAATAATCATAGTTATGAATTTCCCAGTGAATAAAACTCAGAAAATTAATTTTAAAAAAATCCTCTGACTTGTTCATGTACATTTATCTGATCATCTTAGTGAATTTTACTACAGGATACCAAATCACACACATGCATTAGGAGTACAATTAAACATCTAAAAAATGAGAATAATTACAGGTTTAGTCATCTTCAGAAGCAGGAGATAATGGTAACTTTATTTGTCTTTACATTTTTCATGTAAGCTTCAACAAGAGAAAAAAGTAATGCAAACATTTGTAAAAAATAAAGAGTTAAAAAAGAGTAATCAACATACTAAAAATGAATAACATTTTGTCACGTATAAAATATCAAAGACAACTTTTCAAATGTCTTCTATTTCTTTTTCCTGCAATAAGTCCTGCAGTGCTGAGTAGAGACACTTTGATTTGATTTTAATTCCAAATGTAATGCAAACATTTCTGAGAATATCAAAGAGTAAAGGAGTGTAATCAACCTATACTAAAAATCAAAAACATTTTTTCACATATAAAATATCAAAGAAAGCTATTCAAAAATGGAAATGTCTTTTATTTCTTTTTCCAGCAATTCTCCCTATGGGACAAAATAGGGATCTGATTTCAATTTTACTTTCTAAGTTTTTCCATATTCAGGCTTTAATAAACAACATGAAAATTGTTGTAAATACTTAAAGAAAAAAAAAGATGAAAGAAGTGGAAAAGAAAATTACATGATATTTTTTCTTTTCACAGTTTTTCATCTTGAAGGGCTGCAGATGCAGATGATGATGAATTCCTCCAATGAGAACATCTGTTGAATTAAAAGCCACAATTAGAGCTCAAAGTTTTTGTTGCATCATTCAGTAAAAGTGCAATTTATAGATTATGTTCTTTACCTCAAATATGTTCCCTGTTTTAGCAGCTTCTCAGCTCATCACGTAGTTTTTGGACCATCTCCAGCTGTGCTGAAACATCTAAGAAAACAGTTTTAATTAGGGCTTTCTGTGAAATATCTTTTTAAATAGATTCTTTTAAGAGCTGAAATTTTACCTGGAAGTGAAAGATCATCAGTCTTCAGTGAGAGCTCAATCGATTCCCTCATGGTGTCCTCCAGTGTTTTCAGGACGTCCACCTGATTTAGAGTTAAACCTTTTATCACTTGGTTCAGTCAAAAGTTAATTTCAAGATTAATGGGATGTGATTATTGTCAAAATGCCTGATACTTGTTTTTATTCACACCATAGTGGAGGAGTATTTTTAATAAGGGGTCACATTTTAGCCATATGTTTTTTATCAAGAATCTCTCCACTGATCTACAGATTGCACATGCATAAGAAAATTCATCAAGACACTTTAGAAAGACAGGAAACAGAAACAAGAGAAAGAAGCCATGTACTTTTTCACAGCTTCGTGTGGATCAGAATATGGGTACGATAACAGAGTGGAGAGTACGGTAATGTAATTTATATTTCACTGTTACCATATTAAAAGTAACAAACCATCAAGTTGTCCAGGTGGTTCATCATGACCTTTTTAGCCTCTTCAAACATGGTCTTCTTTGATCTATGTACGTGCTTCTCTATAGTGTCCCGCATGTTCTGCAGTGTGCCAGTTCCTCTAAATGCTGCTGCTTCTGGAAAACAATGTTTTAGGTTTTAATGAATAATACCTAAACATACATGTAAATTACTGTAATAACATGATATATATATATTTTTTACTATTATAGCAGTCTTGCATTGTTTCCCCAATGGTTTTTGCTAGACTCCGGTAGACTGTTTTTTTGCCCTTACGAATACTTTTGTTCAGACTTATCTTCAGGCGTTCTTCCTAAAAAACAAAGATAATTCAAAAAATAATTTAAGTAACACAGTTTTACTACAAAGATAAAGTATTCAACTATTGTCATAAATAACACACATATATGTATCTACTTATTTATTTATGACATATTTTTTTGAAATCTCAGGTTTAGTCAACATAAAAGCCTTTCGTTATTTTACGTGTTTCTAAAAAGTCATGTTTCTCATTTTTACCTCTGACTCCAGAGATATCAGCTGCAGTTCCACATCTTTGTACTTCTCTTTTAGTTCTTTAGTGACAATTGAAAAACCATAAATCACTCCTTTGAATGGGCCACATTTTCCATCATTTCTGCAACATAAAAAAATACTAAATATCGTCAATAATATCAAAATGTGAAAATCATTCAGGCTATAATGAATGATTTGGGGCACTACGTAGATTTTAAAAATATAATGTGGTGTATTATAGGTGTTTTATATATTTTATAGATGTAATTGGGAACAGGAATGTCAGTGAATTTTATTTGTAACCGATGTTGCAGTAACATATTTGTAGAGGCCCTCTATGTGCTCATGAAGGTCTTACGGAAAAGTGGTTCTGAATTCCTCATCAATGCTGTCAGTCAGAGGGGACGTCAAGTTCATGTTGATGTTCATTTCTCTTCCTTTCTTAGGTCTGCAGACTCCTCCATTTTCTACTGCTTTTTTCAGTTGCTTATGAAATCCCCGACCATCCCTTTTCTGGGTGAATGAAAAAGAGAGAGAGAGAAATTAATCAAATTTAATAACATATGTGACAAAACTATGCTAGATTACAAAGATGAACTTCCTTATCAGCACACATACACGGGGATAGAGGGTAGACGTCAAGATGTTTCCATATGAGTTTTTGGATCTCTCAACTCCTTCTTGAAGGCGTTCTTCAAAAACTTTGAAAATCTTCATCATTTCATTTTTGATTGATTTAGTTTGAAGGGTTAGATTTTTCTCAAGAGCTTCAAACACCTCCTTAATTCTGTCATCCTAGAAAAACAATATTGTTTAGGACATTTTCAGACTCTGCAAATCTATTTTAATTTAGAACCCCTGAAAAATAATATGACTAATTAAGTTATCTTTATTTGTGCTGAATTAAAATTTTCTTAAAGCAAGTAAAACAGCTAAATACACTAAAAAACATTGAACTTGCTACCCTTACCTGTTTTCTTAAGTTTGCCCCATGAATCAAAGAGAGGATCCCATGAGCTCCAGACACATAGTTTAATGTCTCTGAGTGACAGTCATTGAGATTTTGCAAAAATTCCTGAAGTTTGGGTATTTCTGTGAAAACAAATCATGTCTTTAGTTATATTTATATAATAAACTTCCCACTGTTTGTGGTTCTGCAAAGCTGTATAAATGTTTCGCACAGATTGACACAACCTACCAGTGTCCTCTGGACTTAGATCTCTCTTTCTGAAAAATTCTCTGGAGCTCACAGTGAACACCTGAAAACACTCATCACTGAAGTGTTTCTAGGAAACATTAATATCATTTGTTAACGTAGAAATTCTTTATGTTTTTAATGGTTGACAAACATTGTGCTACACATTTTATCAGTATACCAAACTCACTTTAATCTTTTCCAGTTTGTTGAGTTCTTTTCCCACACTTAATTTGGCTTTTGCATTTCTCTTAAGTATCAAGGCCTGAGTTTCTGCTTTGGTGCTAAAAGAGAAGAAAATATCTATTGGAGCTTGGCAGACCTAGGAATCTTCTGACAGTAAAATAAAACATGAAACAACGTAGTAGACCATCTATGGCTTTTTGCCCTTTGAGTTTTATTTAGCAATACACTTTTAGCATAGCAGTGAACTCACAGTTCATGTGAATCGTCAATATCGTCAGACTTGGTGCAGACAATGTGAATGTGTCGACACTCGCCACCGTTTCCAATCTGACTGGCAACATTTTTCAGGATGTCCCAAGATTCTTGCTCTGATGCTGCTCGATTGATTTCAGTGACAACCCAGACGGTAGAGCAGTCTCCAACAATCTGAAAAAAAAAAGCATTTTATATATTAGGTGCTGGTCAGAAGATTTGAATATCATGAAAAAGTTGATTTAAATCAGTATTTCCATTCAAAAAGTGAAACTAGTTTATTATATTAATTCGTTACTCACAGACTGAAATATTTCAAATATATTTTTCATTTAATGTTGATGATTAGAGCTGACAGCTAGTGAAAACCCCAAAATCAGTATCTCAGAAAATTATAATATTATTTAAGACCAATACAAAAAAAAGGATTTTTAGAAATGTTGGCCAACTGAAAAGTATGTAAGGACTAGTGAGTGTGAGAGCCACTGTCCAGGATGAAACATCCAAGATCCATAAATACATCAAGGACAAAGCCT